TTAATTAACATCCATCTACAACAATTTCGAACTTGTACAATTTTACCCCGTGCAAATACCAGTAATCTTCTCCTCGATTCACGTTGTCCTCTAGAATAAATCAAACAAGCACAAAAGGTTAAATATTACATTCCTTTAGCAACATTCCTTGAACTTCTGCTAAACGATTAGTCTCCCAATCTGTTTTTAATACCCTACTACTAATCCACTGTTAAGTACCAGTATACTAACACTCGAAGCAAGCCCCGTTACTTATGAGCCGGAGTGTACGTGACACGACTGATCACGATCAACTACGAAAAGGAAAGGACAGAAGCACATATCCCTTGTTTGCTTGGCTAATAGAGAGCAAGAACGAAATGCATCTACACTTAGTAGATAGCTACATTAGTACCCATTTGTAGGTCGAATGAACACGTTGACTGCCACGCAACTTTTCACCATTTTAAGAAGCCAATTTGATTTAATCATGTTATATTACTATAAAACTTTATTTATAGTACATAGTGTGGGGATCCTCTCATGGGGTTTATATATTTAATTAAAAATCTTCTGGTCACAACTATCCTTGATGCGTTCCAATGGAGCTCTTCTTACGAAGTGTGGTGTCTCTTGTTTTCTTTGTCTCGGCTCTTGCGGTTCCTTATGATGGTGGACTGGTGTCCTATGGTGCTGGCCTAGTGGTATCCCCGTGGTCGTCGTTGCTATTGATAGGGTAGCAGGTTAGAAGGACGACAGGAAAAGGAAGGGATGCGTTTCGTCCTAGGCTAGCTAGTGGACTCATCAGTAAGGCTTTCTTCTAGCAAGCCATTTTTCCAATTCTTTTTTCCAATTTAACACACGTTTAATGTGTCAGAAGCTAGATACAATAATATACATATAAAATAACTAAAACGTACAAAGGAGTTACAAATGAAAACTTAGACTATAAGATCGATGGATATAGGATAATATAGACTTAAGAACTATCTTATATTAGCATGCGTGCTTGCCTATGTATAGGAAGGCACGAAAACTATACAGCTTTTGGTTTTAAGTGGGTAAGGTACAGGGAGTGGTCTAGATAAATAATTAAATAGATAAATAAATAAATAAATAGGAGTAGAGGGGGATGAGGGACGAGGAGTTAGATGGGGTATATATATTTTTATTTATTTCAAGATTATATTACACATTACTGGTAAGCAAGAGCAATCTAGAAATTACGAAATTCTAGCAGGCCTTGACTTAGGCCAGGATACTTAGACGGCATAGGAATTTTTATTTAAGGAAGGTCAAGGCTTCACCGAGGACTTGCGAGAAAGTCCTCGAACCTCCTTCAAGTAGGAATCCATCTATTGGCGAGGGTAAGAACTTGATCGCTACAATAGTAATAATCAAAAACCTTAAAAATTGTTATTCGATGGAATTCGGCGCTATGTAGTGCTCTGCTATGCTTTCCTGCGATCTACTTTGCTCTGCTGTGTTTAGATTAGGTAAAATAGGGCGCATCAGGCTAATTGTAAGTTAGATCCGGGTTTTTTCAGATTAGGTTATGTTTAGGTTATGTTACAAATTATTTCGCAGTTGGCGTGCAAGGTTGCCTTAAAAATGATCCCAAACCCTGAAAATGTTATTCCGCGCGAATAAACTCGTATAAACCTTTTCCTCTTGAATTATACTACAGTTATATCACGGGTTTCCTCGTAGCTGTACAAATCTGGCAAATAACGAAGGGACGAGATAACTCGTAGTAGGCGTTCTGGGCAAGGAAACAACCTACGAGATACCTTGTACTTGGCAGTCAACGTGTTAACGAGCAAGTTGGGACGGGGACGAGCCGATCAGCGCACGTTCCAATAAGAATACGGCTAATCAGTGCGTGGCCTAAATTGCCCGTTTCTAAAAGTGCATTCCGCGAATAGCCGCGTGTCCTAAGATTTAATCAGCGTTTAGTGAAGCATGGAATAATTACATCGGGTTGCGTATCAATTAAACCGATCGATCAGGCTAATCATCCGCGGAGTCAATGCCCCGGACAACCTGGATCTGAATTAATCGACAATTACATGGGCATTAATAGTAACGAGGGTCAAATAATATTAATCTAGGGGTAGTTACTCTATAAAGTAGAACTAGGTCTTTACTAAACAATACGAACTCTGAACGACATCTAAGATCGGATATATGACGGTGCTCTCGTGCTTCTATTATCGGCGCCATATTTATTCGCGTTCTTTGGCCGATGTCGTTGCGCGTGCAGTTCCATCTTGCTCCAATTCGACGTACTTCGAGATTTTCCCGGGGTATAACGGGAAATATTGGAACCCGCGTATAATTTGATTTTTACAGTCCTCGTGTTGGATGTTCGTGTTATATAATGGACTCAAGCCTGGTGTTGTTATCTTGGATTTACTATCGTTATTAGCACGTGTCATAATAATAATGATAATGGAAGATTCATAATACCGAATTTATTAATTTTAATAATAACAGCATTAATTAATTCCCCGCGCTACGATTCAATTATGGAGAATTGTGCGTCGAGAAGGCATTTAATATTTAGTTAGTCATTGTACGTTTATTTCTGACGCAATAAAGTTATTCGTTTTTACGTAGACTGTACATTGAAACGCGTTAAATTTAGTTCCAAGCGCGTGACGAATGTATAGTTGGTTATTTCGTGATAGATTAGACTCTTTATATTAATGTATTCGATTCGTTGTTATTAATGATAATATTGATCAGTAATTCTGTGCTAATTCATAATGTTATTTAATAAATAATAATAATTTTATTAATTAGTAATTCTGTGCTAAATTTATTATCGTTAATAATAATATCTAGTAATATATTATTATTTAATAATATTGTTAATAATTTTATAAATATATTATTATTGTGATTATTAATATTATTAATATAGCTACAATGATAATTATATTAATTAATATAATACGTTCTATATTGGTCAGTTAAGTATTATAGTCAATGCAGAATACGGTACTTATGGTAGTGATAGGAGAATAAGAGTATGCAGGAATGTAAGTACGTAAGTTTGGTTAAGTTTGGTTACTTCTTAGCGTGTGTCGAATGTATAGTTGGTTATTTCGTGATAGATTAGACTCTTTATATTAATGTATTCAATTGCTTGTTATTAATGATCATATTAATTAGTAATTCTGTGCTAAATTTATTATCATTAATAATAATATCTAATAATATTATTTAATAATATTGTTAATAATTTTATTTAATAAATAATAATTTATTATTAATAAATGCAGAATACGGTACTTATGCTAGTGATAGGAGAATGGGAGTGTGCAGGAATGTACTTACGTATGTGTGTTCGAATATTTTTCTTTACACAACGTGTATATGTACATTTATTTTTGATTTTTCTTTCCTCGATAATATCGGTTCATTTTTCTCGTCGAACGAGAAGATTTGTTTACCTTTATCGTATTATACTAAAAATGCGTTTTGTCGAGATGCATAAAAGTTAGTAGAAAGTTACCAGACCCCGAAGTTACTAACCAATATCAAGATCAAAGTAAACGTGCCGTCGCATATCGATAGCATCATAGAACTTCTGTTATCAGAATTTCCATCCCCCGAATATTCCACTATCGGGACATTCTGCTATCTGAATATTCTATTATACATACAACGCCTTTTTTGTAACGTTTTGTATTCTGTTTCCTTTTGATCCTCTTCTTCGCAAATGGGATTACAACACGTGTCGCGATACGTGTACGTATACACTTACACGTGTACTACAGGAAAAATTTCGAACGAGAATTAATTTTTACGAAAAAGCGAATGTAAAACGCAAAATGTAATTCGTTATAGCGTTTCTTGTAAATACGTATGCTTTTCTACGAAGTATAATTTATATTTCATAAAATAATAATAATATATATCGTATTTATTTATCAACGAAAGAAACAAGGTAATCGTTTAGAAATTATTTCATATTTTTTATTCCATATTCCGTACTTTTTTCGCTTTTTGAGATACATCGATCAAAAATAAAAACAACATGACGAGATAACAGTACTACACGAGAAAGTCATTTCGAACGTGAATTAATACATATAAAAAAAAGTGCGTTGTCATAACTTGTTACATTTTTTTTCTTATCTGTGTTGCTTTTTGTGAAATACAATTTAAATTTTGTGAAATAATAGCACGTATCTACTGGCGAAACTTAAAAAGCAAAGTAGTTGTTTAGGGATGTTCGTTTTTTGAGATACATAGATCGAAAATGAAAATAGTACGAGTAAATAATATCCTATACATTTAAAATATTATAGAATCATCATACATTTTCACAAACATTTCTACATTTTTAAATTGTATAATTATTTTTACGAAAAACATGGAAGCGTAAGTATCTTTCATTTTTAATTTAAAAAAATTGTTTTATACTTTTAAAAATTGTTACAAAATCACATGGTCTTACAAAATATCGTAAAGATCGCGATATTTTCCAATTTTTGCATTAAATAATTTCATTTTTAACTTTAAAAAATTTGTAAAACCTTTTAAAAATTGTTATAAAATCACATGGTCTTATAAAATATCGTAAACATCGCAATATTTTCCAATTTTTGCATCAGATATCTTTTTAAACTCTATCTGATACTTTACTATAGATCTGGTCCTTGCAAATATTTATTTAAAAATTAATAACATATTATATATGTACATTTATCACACGAGCCACATTTTCATTTATATCTTACACTATATAAGACGGTATCGTTTATATTTGTACATCAAATTTCTCGAATAACTACTTTGCTCCTTAACTTTTATCGCTGATTATACGCAAGAAGAATTAGAGAAGTGCGTTTTTTCGAAAAAACGATATCGAACAGTGGAACGTTCCAGTGAACTTTGGTACGATTCCACGTACACGTTAGCAGTAGTATTAGACAAATTGCCGCAGATCAATTGTCGAAATTGTCAGAAATTGTCAGAAATTGTCGAAAGCGGTCGTGCCTTTGTTTCAGCCTTGGTAGGGTCGTTAACCATTGGTACCACGTTCTTTTTATCGCCGATTTCTGGCATTCTCACCGATAAAATTGGGATTCAGACGACCACATTTTTGGGTGGTGCTCTTGCTTCCGGTGGCATGTTTCTATCCTCCATATTGTCTAGCAAGGTAAATCTTTCTTTTTTTTTTCATTTATTTTTATTACATACATTTCACGAAATAACTTCTCTGGATTTGTTCTATTTATTTTGCATATAATCTAACGAGTGTTAATATATCAATTTATTTAAAATTACGTTATTTTTATTAATCCTTAACGGAGATAATTACTAGAGACGATTAATAATAGATACTAAGTTAACGTTTCATTAATATAATATATAAGATATTAACTATTAAATAATATAAGTAATATTCTTATTTTTTAATGATCTCTTATGTTTCCTTTTTCGATTTTGTTGTCCTCATTGTCTATGCTTACAAATTATTCTGAATCGTTGTATTTATTTGTTCAAAAGATTATTTTACATATCATCTAAATAATTCATACCGAATTTTATAGTTTAAATAGATATTTCATTTTCTGTTCTTGAAATGACCCAAAATAATCGGAATTTGTGTCTAATAGACTGTATGGTCGAAAATATTTTACAAAAATGTACTTTCTTATGCAAAAATAAATTATGGAATTACGTGGAATATATTTTTTTCCAAAAATCATCGATTAATATTGATTTGGAAATTAATCGACAATATTTTGCTTTATAAGTTACTTGTTTCACAAATAATCGAGATATACAGGGTGTCTAGGAAATAGGCCTCCAATTTTCACAGTATCACGATTTACATCCATCAAAGGAACAAAATATCGAAAATACTCGTAATTCTTCATATAAAGTGCTCTTCGTATAAAATTACGAGGCGAATAAAAATTTCGTAGTTCCTAAAAAAGACAAAATGTCGCTATGGCTGTCTAATCTGTGTTTATCTTTGACCAAAGTAAAATACGTCACTAAAATTCCTATATTTCTCACTATTTCCTGCACACCCTGTAGATCAATTTACCGAAACGTACCTCGGTGTCTAAATATTTTCAACTATTAGATTTTTCGCACGAAGATCGTATTTTTGCGCGTGAACCCGAAAGACGCATAAATTTTGCCACGAATTTTGCTTTATCTGTGCACAAGGAACCATCTTTCACCTAGCAAAATACTTTCGACCACGTTCTACGTGTACAACTGACGTCCCCTCGTGTCCACATTGTCAGAGAGAATAATTTACTGCTTAGCAAGGTACCATAACGAGATTAGACACGCGTAACGACGTGATAAAATCGAATATCGTTAGGCCAAGTTAACCCAAATAGGGTAGGTGTAAACGAAGGCGGCGGAACGATTTTCACGAAGAATCATTATCCTCGATGTTAGAGCATGGCATTCGCGTTGTCATAACCGACTCGAGTTATTTCTAGAATCGCTGTGCTTCAGGTGACATTACTCTATTTGACCTACGGAGTGATGTACGGACTTGGCGCGAGTCTTGCCTACACGCCGAGTCTAGCGATCCTGGGCCATTATTTTAAGAGATACTTGGGCTTGGTCAATGGAATCGTCACGGCTGGAAGCTCCGTATTTACAACCCTTATGCCGTACCTGATAGAAGTCATACTTCGTCGTTTCGGACTCGAAGGGACTCTCAGGTTCCTGGCCATGCTCACCGCGGTCGTTATGGCGTGCGCCATACTCTTCAAGCCGATTCCACGTGAGTTTTATCCTGCTTCCATTTTGAACGGACACTCTTGCATTTGTATTTTCCGCAAAGCTTTGTATTATTCTTTTAATTTGCCTTTATTTTTATTTGTTTCCACTGGCGAAAAGTAAAACATTTTTGTAACGAGAGTTTTTAGTTGGAATTTTGTCTGCTTTTTATTTACCGAGTAGTTGGGGAAATTTATTTTTATTCGTTTGTTGGGAATTGCTTTTTCGAGCATGAAAGGCAGAAATGTAAATAATAAACAATATTTTGGCAATTTTTTATTATATGTTGATAAAATGGTTCTTATTTTTAATTTTTTGATTTGTGAATTCCAATTTGACGAATTATATGTTATTTATTATTATACTGCAAGTAAGTAATTTTTCGAGGATTATTTATATGAAGAAAATAGTTCTAATTTTTAATTCTTTTATTTGTGAATTCGAATTTGACGAATTATATGTTACGTATTATTATCCAATAAATAAGTAATTTTTTGAGAATTATTTATATAAAGGAAATGGTTCTAATTTTAAATTTTTTTATTTGTGAATTTGACGAATTATATGTTATGTATTATTATCCAGTAAATAAATAATTTTCTTGAGAATTATTTATATAAAGGAAATTGTTCTAACTTTTAATTTTTTGATTTGTGAATTCAAATTTAATGAATTATATGTTATGTATTATTATTTAGTAAATAAGTAATTTTTGAGGATTATTTATATAAAGAAAATGGTTCTAATTTTTAACTTATTCATTCATGGATTCTAGTAAATGATTTACGAGGAATAAATAATTTTTTGAGAATTATTCACACGAGAACAATATTTTGTTTTTTACTTTTTCAACAAAATTCGAGGAATTGTAGTTTTGATAGAAATTCTAGGATTAAGTAGTCTCATTATTCGTCTTACCACGATTGTTTCAGTAAACTCAGTGCCACGGGACAAACTGAAATCCAAATCGAACTTGAAAACTTGTCTGAGGCAAGTGGTGAATGTCTCGATTTGGAGGAAAAAACGTTACGTGGTATGGGCTAGCTCTATTCCCCTCGCTCTGTTCGGGTTAGTATCACCTCGATTAATTATCGTAACACGTATGAACGCTTTCGCTGTAACATAAGCAGCGATCATGATCAGCTTGACAGCTCGCGTGTCCCTCGTTGCGGTTCCATTCTTTTCGTTCTTAGCCTTGTGTAACCGGAATTTTCCCTGCTCGCGAAGCAAAGAACGGTGAAATAGCATAAACGATTAGCCTTAATTTGAGAACTAGAAATTTACAATTATTCCAAGTAGTATTCAAATTCGGGAAAAATCCTCTGAAATATATACATTTCCCTTTTTCTCTATCTATATTACTTATAAACATATTCATCCTATTTGATTTTATTTTATTCCTAATAATTCCTAGATAAATAAATAATAATGTCGTGATAATTCCTAACAACTCCTAATAATTTCCAATAATTTCTGAATTAATAATTCCTAGCTACTATAACGATACGATAAAAATAATAATGGAACCATAAACGATTAGCCTTAATTTGAGGACTAGAAATTTACAATTATTCCAAGTAGTATTCAAATTCGGAAAAAATCCTCTGAAATATATACATTTCCCCTTTTCTCTGTCTATAGTACTTATAAACATATTCATCCTATTTGATTTTGTTTTATTCCTAATAATTCCTAGATAAATAAATAATAATGTCTCGATAATTTCTAACAACTCCTAATAATTTTTAACAATTTCTGAATTAATAATTCCTAGCTACTATAACGATACGATAATAATAATAATGGAACCATAAACGATTAGCCTTGATTAGAGAACTAGAAATTTACAATTATTCTAAGTAATATTCAAATTTGGAAAAAATCCTCTGAAATATATACATTTCCTTTTTCCTCTATCTATATTACAACATATTCATCCTATTTGATTTTCTTTTATTCCTAATAATTCTTAGATAAATAAATAACTCTCGATAGTTCCTAACGATTCCTAATAATTTCCAATAATTTCTGAATTAATAATTCCCAGCTACTATAACGATACGATAAAAATAATAATGGAACCATAAACGATTAGCCTTAATTAGAGAACTAGAAATTTACAATTATTCCAAGTAGTATTCAAATTTGGAAAGAGTCCTCTGAAATATATACATTTCCTTTTTCCTCTATCTATATTACTTATAAACGTTCATCCTATTTGATTTCATTTTATTTTTAATAATTCTTAGATAAATAAATAACTCTCGATAATTCCTAACGATTCTTAATAATTTCCAACAATTTCTGAATTAATAATTCCTAGCTACTATAACGATACGATAATAATAATAATGGAACCATAAACGATTAGCCTTAATTAGAGGACTAGAAATTTACAATTATTCCAAGTAGTATTCAAACTTGGAAACAAATTCTGTGAAATATATACATTTCCTTTTCTCTAACTATATTACTTATAAACATATTCATCCTATTTGATTTTGTTTTATTCCTAATAATTCCTAGATAAATAAATAATAATATCTCGATAATTCCTAACAACGTCTAATAATTTCCAACAATTTCTGAATTAATAATTCTCAGCTACTGTAACGATAAAATAAAAATAATAACGAAATAAAATTATTATTAATACGAAATTCGAAGATATACGCGTAAAATACTCGCACACTGAAATCGCAATGGTAAAATACATAGCAGTAGTATTAGCGCGAAAGCCTGCTCTAAACCACCACTATAACGTTACAGAGTGCTAACCCGTTGATTTTCATTACCGATACGCGACCGCTGGTTAACATTGAATCCATCGAGTGGCTGTCAGTTGAATTTCAGCCTAGGCGGAAACCGGCAACATGTCGGTTAGCAAATGTGGTCGCGAAAGGAAGCACGTTTCCCAACGGCAATCAAGTTACACGAGCGCGTAATCCAAGACACGGTGGAAAGAAACAACCGCGGCGAAAGCGTGTAAACCGTCGGGTGTTAAGTGACACGTCCTTTCACATCAATGGGAACTTATTCCAGGTACTTCGTCCCGTATGTTCACATAGGGAAATTCGTCGAGACGGTGTTCAAGGACGCGGATGGCAAGCTACCGATCATGTGCATCGGCATCACTTCCGGTATCGGGCGTCTCCTCTTCGGCTACATCGCCGACTTACCTAGGGTGAACAGAATATTGTTGCAACAGGTAAGTCAGTGTGAATCATTTGCACGCCATAAACCCTTCCTATACTCTATTTTATAAATTTCCTATTTTCATAAAGATGCAAGAAATTCTTATTTTTCTTTCCGTTTTAATACGATAGAAAAAATATGTTCGTCATATTCCTCAATGATGATAAGTTTATTGTAGAATTATTTGATTATAAAGTTGGTACTAGAATTTTTTGAGACGAAGAATCGAGCAGTTCACTGCACAAATCGATTAACTCCACTTTTTGAAAAATCTTAAATTTAAGAGTCACTTGGTATAGTCGTAACTTTTTATATTTATAATAACTTTCCCTGATAATTAAGATTAACACCATTAAACGACCAAAATTTTTTGGCCACCGAATAATAAATAATTTATTTCAAAGATCATTTTGATCAACTCCGTACTGTAATGTAAATCGTTGCAATAATGCAACTCAAATGCACTAGCAAGCCATGAATGATAACGGTGAATTTTTCAGTGCCGTCTTATCAGAATTTAAGTAAAATTTAGTCAAATTTAAATTTACTACTTTTTTCACTTGCCTAATCGATTAACTCTTCCAGTAACATAAAAATGGTAACATTGCTAACGATTACCTTTTGGCTATTTTTTCTTATAAATTTTATATACCGTTAGATGAAAGTTACATTTGTATTTATGCATTCTACGATATTTATTTCGATTTAAATTATAAAAGGAATTTTAAAAAACAATGTACATTATTTCATTGCATTTCTCCACTTTTTGTTTTATGGAGTTAATCAATTTGTGCAGTGAATTGCTCCATTGTAAATGGAAGTTCTCTTTTAATCGAATTTATTATTCTTTTCGATTACTATAGAATTTGTCAGGTGTTTAATAAATGTGTTTACCTTTCTGTTTTCAGATATCGTTCCTTAGCATTGGTATTCTTACAATGCTTCTCCCAGTGACACCTTCGTTCATGGTGTTGCTGCTGATTTCTTTGGCCATGGGGTTATTCGACGGTTGCTTCATATCCCTTTTGGGCCCCATTGCGTTCGATATATGCGGTCGGGAAGGGGCGACACAAGCCATTGGATTTCTGTTAGGCATGTGTTCTATACCTTTGACTGTAGGACCTCCCATTGCTGGTCTCCTGTATGACCATACCGGTAATTATATCGATTAATCGACTCACATCCATTACTATTGATCTCTTCACCCTTATTTTCAATTCTCAAATTGAACTATTCGCTTTATGAAAGAATATCGCGAATTAATAATTCTTATAAATTAATAATTTAAATTTTCACATTGTGTTCCCTAATAGCTTATTTGGTATTTACATAATACAACAATTATATATACATACAAACTATTCACATAGCAATGTAACGTAATAATATATAATAAAGTATTTATATGCTTTATATACAATTTATATAACTCTGTATATAATATTATTATTTTCCATTGAATTTTTAAAACTTTTATTGGGGAATAATTTAATACGAGTGGAATAAATTTTTTATTAAACAATTGGTATTATAATTGACCGTTTTATCTTAGAAAATAATTGAAGATAATGTAAAAAGTATAATAATAATATGACAATGGAATAAATCCCACATAAAATAATTATCTGCTTTTTGGGATAATTGATTGTATTAAATTATTTTTTCCTATTTACAGAAATATGTATATGGTTTAATTATGTTGTTTCTCTGTTTATGTAGGTAGCTATGATCTGCCATTTTTCTTAGCCGGCATCCCACCAATAGTGGGCGCACTCACTATGTTCCTGATAAAATTCGTGAAGGACGAAGAGCAGAATACCAGTGTTAGTGGGAACGTAGGGGATAAAGCTGCTTGTCAGAATGGTCGGTAAACAGGTATTTGTTCATTATTCACATCTAACTAACAGAGTTTGTTTCTCCATGTGGTATCGAAACACGTGCGTGTCGGTTTGTAAACTCTTTTCACGAAGGCGGTTGAAACTTTCCACGGAAAGCTTTTCGGATAAAATAAAACACGAATCCGTCTGCTGTCGAGGGGGACAGAACACTTGGTAACGCAAATTCAATATTTCGAGAAATTATGTCTCTGCACACTTTGCTCAGACACTGTCACTCTTCATTTCGTTTCTTTCTTTTACAAATTTTTCAAATCTTTTTCATTTTTATTTCTTGACACTGCATAGCTTGTTGAAATTCGTTGCATGCTTCTACACGTGTACGTCACAGAATTGCATTGATTCCTTGTGCATGCTATATTTTTGCATCGATGCATTTAACAAAGTCAGCCTGGCATACTAATCACCCCCTGTAATAATGGATGATGTCTGGAATTACTTGCTAAATATGAAAATTTAATTTTTATAAACGAGGAGAAGCTATTGTTAACACTAGAATTATCAAGTATAGTAATTGCATATATATCTATATATTTTTATCGTGCCATTTTAATTATTAATTATATATACTTTATTTAAAGATATTAAAAGATATTAATACAGATATCAGAGATAAATAATTTTAGTGTTAAGTGATTCTTCTTTAGCAGAAATTAGGAGACTTTTTTGTACATAAAATAGATATTAGGTGAAATAACATTCCTTGATGCTTTTTGCATTTTTGGTTTTGCTTTTGGAAGGGTTGTTTTTGTCCTTCAACGTCGATACATCATTTGGCAAGATCGATAATTCAATGTCTCTCGTGGAATATGTGTTCACGTTGTTTATTTTTTAAAATTCATTCATCTCTAACGAAGGCTAACACAGTAATTCGAATTAATCATGACAATGCAGCCTTGCAACAATTAATTACTTATTGCACCCTGTGTTGACAGTTTAATTACGCCTCGGCTCGTTGCGATATGACGACAACTCTGTCATCCATTATGCGCTATTCATAGTCAGTGTTTACTTTCTCATAGAGGTAATTCCTCTATTTTTCTTCCAATTTTCTGTTTCCACGTATTAAGGATGCAATTGGAACGAACCTAATTATATTATACTTCTCGAAGAGTTTAATTAATCTAATTATGAAGTAGAACGTAGTTCTGTTTGCAGAAGAATTTTTGAAAGAAACTGGTACTAAGGACACGATTTTGAATTTAATTTTTATTTATACACTGTTGTAAATACGATACATTTTATGTTTGTGTTAATAACGATCGAATGTATTGTATATGATATTTGTAGATTGTTTATCACGAGAATCCTCGTTTTGAGAAACACTGACAGTCGAGTAGAACGCCTGCAGTAGTAATAACCAGTTTGAGTCAGACACTGGTTCCACTGACTCGAACGTTCAGCTTTCAATATAGAACGTGTTAATAAAAAGCAGCGATATTCTTTTTTAGAATCGATATTATACATCAAAAACATGGAATCGGTTTCCTATCTGCTTCTATTTACGAATACTTTTAAGTTTTTCCCTCGGTTCTACATTTTCCTTTTCCATCACTTTTTACCTTATATTTGATCACTATTTATTAAAAACGTTTGAACAACTATGTGCTTCTCGTACGATTCACGAATGCAAGTTATCCGTAAATCATTATACAAGTACCATAAACGGAATATCTTGTTTCCTCTTCTATCTTTCTCTACCCTGTCAATTATCAAATATAAATTACTCATAGATCATTATTCAAGTATCATAAGTGGAATATTTTATGTCTTTTCTATTTTCTTGTAAGATAGGATTTTTATAATAGAATTTTCAGTTTCTACCAATTCAATTTCAATTTCTACTTTCTATTTTTATAATAACAGAATTTTTAATTTCTATCAATTCAATTCTAATTTCTACTTTCTATTTTTATGATAACAGAATTTTCAATTTCTACAATTCAGTTTCAATTTTTACTTTCTATTTTTATAATAGAATTTTTAATTTCTACCAATTCAATTTCAATTTTTACTTTTTATTTGTATGATAACAGAATTTTTAATTTCTACCAATTCAATTTCAGATCCTACTTTGTATTTTTATGATAACAGAATTTTCAATTTTTACTATTTTAATTTCAATTCCTATTTTCTATTTTTATGATAACAGAATTTTCAATCTTAACCAATTCAATTTTAATTTCTACTTTCTATTTTTACAATAACAGAATTTTCAATTTCTACCAATTCAATTTCAATTTCTACTTTCTATTTTTATGATAACAGAATTTTCAATTTCTACTTTCTATTTTTATGATAACGAAATTTTCAATTTCTACCTTCACAAATAATCCCTCTAAACCAAAATTTCGCAACCCATTTTCTCAACCCTGTTTTCCAAAATTTGCTACATTTTTGCAAGCAAACAAAGAAAGGAGAAGCCCAATCGAATCCAAGGGACAAAATTTCCATCGTTCTGGTGAATAGAATCGATTCTCAAAACAAGTATTACACTGCTTACCTCTCTTCTCTATTATTATTCCAAATAAACCCTCTATTATCTAAATCCAGAAAATCCATTCTCTAACACGAAGGAGAAGGTTACATCCATTTTCCACTAACACAGCGCACACCCAAGATGCACACACTCTCACCATCTCACATCGCTAGACCTTAACGGGCACTAAGCGTCTCTGCTGCAAATATTCTTGCGATTTAAGCGACGATTACAGTCGAAATCCCTGAGTTTCTTGCTCGATCAGTTGCAAAACTGTTTGACTTACGATCCACAGGCTGCTCGAGCACCGGCTTTCTGTCTCCGTGCCTCGTGACGACGGTCAGGCACGAGCAATCAAGCTGGAAGACGTCTCGTCGAGGCGTTCACGATCAACACTCGTCGGGGTGCTGCGGATTTCACGAGGGTGCCGTATGCCAGGATCACGGGATCGGGTGTCCTGATCTTTATGGGCACTCGGAGAGCATGCCGTTGCTCCACGGCGAGAATCGGTCCGCTTCTGGTCGCTTCCAAAGGATGCTGCAGCCGTCGATGCTTCTCACGTGCTAGCTCGCGGATAGACGTTTTTTAACATAGGGGTCCTTCCATTGCGATTCTTTCGTGATCACGGGATCTTAGCGAACTGTCTGAGTTAGCTATTTGCGAAGCGAGTAATTAGATAAAAGTCTTTTGTGATCGTTGTCTCTCAATGATCCGAGTTAGCTATTTACTTGCAATGGATTCTTGACTATTTTTGGGATCGTGATCCTTTTGTGATTGGAGCTTTTTCTCTTGTGATCTGACAGAATTAGCTAATGATGAATCGAAGAGCGAAACGAAAGACTTTTGTGATCGTTGTCCCTTATTGTTAGTGACCTATTGGAGTTGACTATCTATGATAGGGATATTGAAACGAAGGATTCTGTTGTGAGATTTGTGTAATGGATCCTTACCTTGTGTTTCAACGACCTGTTAAAATTAGCTATTTAAGATTATGCAGTGTGACGAAAATCTTCTGTGACCTGGTCTCTTAATACTTTCTTAGAGTTACTTATTGGGTCACTGATATGAAAGAACCGATCACAAAGGTCTGTACATATTATAGGTCCTATAGGACCTATACCTAGACCTATAGGTCCTATAGACTTAGCTATAGGTTCCTCATGTTTTAGTGATCTCTCAGAGTTAGTTGTTCACATATAATCGGAGCACTGTGTCAGGATCAGCAATTCGCAAATTAGACACTACGATAAGATCGCGAGAGATTATACGATTCGCTTCGATGAATTACAAATGAAATTTGACCACTTACTGGCTACAGATTTTTCCGATTAATACTTGGAACGATAACTCGCGACAGGCGAATGACTATTGCAGTGAAGAAGCTACGTACTCGCGAAGCATCGACGATCGATAGATCCGAGGACCACAATAGTCTCCGATGCTTTGTTCACGGGTAAACGCTATTTCCTCAATATCTGTTAATGGACACGAGCAACGAATGTCTCTAGGTATTGTAGTCGTTGTCGAAACACAGATCGAGGTAGAATCCTTAGCGCGTTTACTTCGAATAGCGGAAAATCATATTGTTTTGCAAACCGAAAACGAGGAACAATTTTATCCAATTAGAGACGAGGTTTCCTGTTTAACTCGTTCTCAGTGGAGTTTCTATACTCTACTCGATAATCGATATTTGTGTCAATATTTTGGAAAGAAAGGGTTTATAAGTAGAAGTCACACCGGTCTTCATCCATCGATCCTCGATGGATAGAAGTTCACGGAAATAGTGGTTTCGATATTTTTAGACGATTAATGTACTATATCACGTGTTCGAAACCATACCGTGTTTGCTGTGTAAAATCCTTCGATTTTATTTGATTTTTTTTTCCCTTCCTGTATTTTACGCAGCTTACATAAATAGACCTGTACAAAGACGCAAAGACAAGACTAACGTGGTCTATTAAAAGTTTATAGAATGAATTGATCTAGAAGGAATCGACACATTCGACATTTATTTCTATGCGTTAATTATCATGCGATGGCATTTGAAGTTGAAAATGACACTCTTTTATATTTGAATTATTTTAAGAATTTTTTTCACTCGAATCAGACTTCGTCGTAATATTTTTCGAATTTCTTTTTTCCATTGGAAAAGAGGTAGATCTTATTTTAAGATGTTCTATGTCTCATTATATAACGTCGTGTGATAAATGTTGCGATGAAAAATTTATTATGAAAATATTACTGTTACTTGTTAAAGAAAGAATTTTAGCAGTGTTTACGTAAAGTTGCTGTAGATGGTAATTTTATACTAATCGACGTTTAATCACTCTTTCTCCAACATATCGAGGAAAGATTTCAATACTTCAAGTGACAAGTCTTCTCCCCAAAATTCGTTTTATCGCTCATTTTAATCACTTAGTCAATTAACGAATCAATTAAAGCTAGGCAATTTTACACATTTTATATACGATCGGTTTGTTTCGATGTACACTTGAAATATTCGATCATTCTCTCTGTTCGACAATTACGACTAATTAATCCATAAGAGTTGATCTAAGTTATAGATTCCGTTTTTTATACATAGCAATTCGTTGGCCATGACACGACTAACGGTACAGAGTACTCTATTTTCATAGCGTTAACAGAGCAAGAATGTTATTTTTCTCGTAATACTGTACATAAGATAGTTAGAACATTGTCAAATTACGCTAAGAACAAGCGAAGAAAATAAAGAGATGAGAATGTGTTAAAGATGGTGTCATTGTGATAACCAACCCCTTGGGAAACATACAATTTTCGTTATTTAATTTAACCTCTTGTGCTATAATTACGAATCTAGCTCACTATGGCAAACTACATGACGATCAATACCTATCATGCGACTAAAATTATATGTAACGTGTTTTAATATAAATTGAAAGATTTAACAATAAACTTAAGTAGCATTGTTCTTTTGTATAACTTGTGTTAAATTATACAAAAATTTTTGCATATAATTTTATAACGAATGTTACAGATCTATAGTGTCTTATTACAATTTTTTAAATTAAATTTTAATTAAATAACGATTAATTACAATTTTTAAAATTAAATTTTAATTAAATAACGACTAATTACAATTTTCAAAATTAAATTTTGATTAAATGACTAATTAAAATTTTTGTATAATTTTATTACGAATGAAATACATGTGGTAGTAGTGCCACATATGTAGTGGTTATATATAATTATAATTAAATATTTTTTCAATGTACAAATTTGCATAATTAAATTATAGCACAGAAGGTTAATATCTTGCATATCTGATTAAAATTTTGTTTGAGGCAATAAATGTCAATGAACATTGTACGTTACTAGAAGAAAGCAGAAGGATCTTTTTCTCGCGAGAAATGTCTCTTCTCAAAATATACAATAACACGTCGTAACGTGTGGGAAAAGAGCAGTGTATAGCACGTCGATTCTGCTACATTGTATATACTCCTTTCTAAGAGGATATACGATGTGCTATTTCCGTCTTTTCAGAAAACTGTCAGATCATTGTATTCTTTCGCGAAAGAATAAATCTATCTGCTGGTCTGTTCTCTTCGAAAAATGCATTAGGTTGTTACCTTCCCCGGATGCATTTACACATATGGCGTTTCGATGTTAAGCCGTTTTTCACTAAATCGTTTAAAATCTAACGAAAAACGAAATATAAATTTTTCCTTGTTTTTTTTTGTACTTTAGAATTTTTTGAAAGGATCGTAAGGAAGGCGTGTATATGAAAATATAAAAAATGGAAAAGAAAAATTGCAGGGATAATTTATATACTTTGTAGTAGAAAGAAATATTTTATGAAACAAGTGAAAGTAAAATTATTTTATAGAACAAAATATTTTTTAAACTAATATCGAATTTATCTACGAAAGATACGGTTCCTGATGGACAATATCAATTACAAGAATTACCAGAGAAATTAAAATTAAGAAATTAATTTCGGATATTTTATTTTTGCAATTATTGAAAATATACAGGTACTTTGGACTAACTTAAATTTCACTTCCATTATTCAGATAAAGATATATGTATTTATTTTCAACATACCACTTTAATTATTATTAACTCTGTACACAATATATTACAAGTTAGTAGTCGTAGTGTTAAACTCTTTTCTAGTGACATCCTATATAAACCATATTTTTCTAAATTATCATCTAAATGTTACCTAATCAAGCGTATCGAATATAATCGTTTAAATACTTTCACGTTTGAGGATATATCTATTCGAGTGTTCCAATTTTTATTTAATTAAAATAAGAACGCAGTTATACAATATACTTATTAATTTTCACGATGTACTTCGATTATTATTATTCGTGTACACTATATTTCACTATATATTACAAATCAGTAGTTCCAATGTTAAAAAATTAAAAATCACAACGTATAGGAGAAATCAATAATTTACAGGAATAAGTATAACAATCAAAACTGTCTAATCTTTCAACCCCTTCGTGTACAATATCGTATGAGACCCTTGGTAATAGTATCGGGTCGAACATGATTATCACGTGTGGGAGACGTGGTTTGTAGATAGGCTCCCAATGTAAATAAGATGGGTCAAAACTGTCTAATCTTTCAACCCCTTCGTGTACAATATCGTATGAGACCCTTGGTAATAGTATCGGGTCGAACATGATTATCACGTGTGGGAGACGTGGTTTGTTGATAGGCTCCCAATGTAAACAAGACGGGTCAGGCTCGTGGTTAATTTTCACAGATGTTTTTCTATCTCAGTTGCGTGTTATTCTTCGCCGTGTTCGGACGAAATTCGACGCGTGACCTTTAATTTTGGTCAATGTTTTTCTCTCGAGACAAATTGAGACTTGCTACTTACGTGTTATTCTTCGCCACGTTCGGACGACATGGCTCACACGTGTGACTGTGTGACTTTGCTGTTTGATTACGATACGTGCCATCGGAACTTAAATTGCAAGATAAGGAATTAACAACACACTTGTCAAACTTCGAAGAAAATGACACGGAGCTACTTAAACAAATTTTAACTAAAATTTCATTTCAGTCGCACATTTTTCTTAGATCTTTAATTTTTCTCGTTAATTTCTCTTTTAACTCCGCGAATCCTCAACAATTTTCGATGAGCGTCTCTCAATTTTCTCTAATGCCTTTTATTTTTCACAGGGTTCCATTGTTTCGCTCGTTCTGTCCCAGTCTTTTCACTTTTTCCATTTTTTCCAGCCTCCTCCAAGCTTCCACAGTTTTTACGGTGTTTTCCATTTTTATTCCATTCCTTTCTATCTCGATATTCTCTCACTCTCTCTGTTTTCTTTTTACCCACTATCGAGAATCCT